AACCAATTAATACCCACACTGCCTACAACAATGGGACTCTCTGTAATTAACACAGTCACACAAGTAAAGCTCACTGGTCAATTGTGCAGTTCGTTGTCGGCAGCGACAGCGGCTGTCTCTGTCAATCGGTATTTCATTATTGCTTTCACTGCTACTGCTACTGGTATCCTCCGGTCCTGAAAGCAGTGCTTACAGCTAGCAGTAATAGCCTTGAGCTAGAACGAGCAACAATGTACATTGCACCAGAGTGGGGAGTTTGCTGATGGCAGTAACTGTGATCAAGATTTAATCAAATTTAGACTGACAAATGCGCTTTGTGAGCTAATGAGCACCTGGCAGTATCCATTACAGGGACTAATTGAGCCGAGCCAAGGAGAGCGGCGCTGCAGTGGCTCCCTAGCAGTGCTGTCTCTGCTATAGCAGACAATGTCGGTAATGCTCACTTGGTGAAGTGTGAGTGATTCAGTGATACATTCAGTCTAAGCAATGGTAGCTGGTTGCTAGCTAGCTCTTCAACTTGTTTTCTCGTTAATGGCCCGGCAAGAGAGTGTTAAAAGTGGGCACAACACCGAGCACCACCTCAGGTAGCGCCCAATTTAGGTCAATGTTGAGTGCTGTGTCCACTGCCTCTGCTTAGGCGCTAATTTGATTAGTCTTACACTCATATTTCTGAGGGTGTTGTAAACGACAACAACACTGCAGCAGCAGCGATCTACCGACGTCCAAGTTTGACAGTCAACTCACTTCTACTTTATCGACGTATTTATGGCTGGCTCACTTCGATCGCAATCGCAACTGCAACTGTCTTGCCCGCAATTGGCAAAGAGTAGGAGAGTAAGGCAAAAGAGAGACAGTTTTGCCAAAGACTGCGAACCAGGTTGAGGAGTGTGCAAAAAAGAGACAATGGTGATTAAGGGAAGACATTGGGCACGTACCTTTGAAGTGGAATCGGAATCATTGTTGTAGTCGAGACTAGTTCGTCGCTGGTTGAATCTGGTCAGCGTGACTGGGGTGGATGAGTATGTCGAGCCTGTAGGGCCATAGTGGGGTGAGAAGGTTATTTCTGAGTGCCAACTAACGCCATTATGTTCAATGGGGTAGATAGGTAGATGGGTGACAAGCTCGCTTTGCAACTCGACACAGACACACAATCAGTAATAATCAATTGACAGCAAGAGTGGAAGCACTCCTTCTGACTGCACTGATCAAAGCTTCATGTTTGCCTTGCGGACTGCTGAACTGGGCACTCGAAGCTAGGCAGTAGGTTGGTAGTTGGTGGTGGTGCTCGGGTGCAGTAAATCAAGTGACACTTCTTAAGTGGAGCGCCGTTGAGTGCCGATGGTGGCTGATGCCGCTTCGGAACAGACTGACTGCCTGACTGCCTGACTGCCTGAGTGGGCCAATTAGCAATTGCAATGGCAACGTAATTTGACTTATCATCGACTCTTTTCTTTTATTACTACAATAGGCTAAATTCCGATTAAAGAAATCATCATTTACGTAAAGCTGATGACAACCTGAGGTTGGCCTGCCCATCCAGGGCTAGCCAGCAGCGGCAGACGAGCAGCTTCAATTAAAAGATGTGGCTAGCCGCTAGCGTAAGGTGCTGTACAAAGGGAAGGCTAGCAGCACTGTCTCATTGTAGTCTGCACATGTAAATGTACACCGCTTTTATGGTGCACTTAAAAAAGTCTCATTTCACTGCCTATTATAGCAGTGCTCCCATGTATGAACGGGGATGTTTGCTGAGAATTGTTGACTGCTGCTGAAAACACCGAGTGGCAATGCAAACAGATGTGGGGGGAAGATGGGGCAACCAGTTGGTTGGCAGGTAGAACACCGAAGCAGGGGAAAGCACATACCTGGTGAGTACTTGCTCGATAGAAATGAACTAGACGTGTATGATCTAGAGCTAGGACTTGAGTAGGACGAGGGTCGGTAGGAGTTGAGATTGAGATCATAGGATGATCGCGTCCTCAGGTAGCTGGAGCTGGCTGAAGAAGCAGTGGAGGAGGAGGAGGAGGATGACGAGGATGCTGACGACGGACTGGAGTTCAGGTAAAACTTGCTCGTACTACCTGACGAAAAGTTGTACTTGGATGAGTGACGCGACAGCGAACTCGACGGGTAGTACGTCGTTGAGGTCATCTTGCTAAGAACGTGACGTAGATCTGCGGAAAAAGGCAAACGTCAGCAAGTGTCGACTATCGATGTAAATTTTAGGGGACTGTGAACAGCGCTAAGTGGGTGATGGAAAGGTGCAACCAAGGTGTAGTACAGCTTATAATGAGAAGACACGAGAGGACATAGTAGATAAAGACAAACAGGTCAAGCATAAGGTAAGCACTGCACTGCTGAATACTGGTGGCTAGTTGAGGAGCAACAATTTGAAACAATGAACCAAATCAAATGGTGACATCAATTCACAGCACGTAAATTTGTCTATTTTCTGTGCTCAATGAGTCTGAGGAAGAAGAGTGTGCTGTCGGGAGGAAGCGCTCATGTCTTACTTGTTTCCAGTAAGCGGTGTCAATATTCAGAAAGGGAGCAACTGCAACTAGCACTGACTCGGCGTCTTGTCGCAAGCAGCTGATGCTGTTGCCAGTGCTGACGACAAGTAGTGGAAAGTATTTCACTAATCTTTTCTTGACACCTTGCCATAAACTCCGAAAGCAAAGAATTTAAATTTAAGCTAGGAAAAAGAAGCAAAAGAAGAGGCCTCGCGCGTCTTTTCTCTGCAGCAGTAGTGCAGGCAGAATTGCACTGTCGTGTGATAAAGAAAGTCTGAGATTGGCAGACTGAGAGAAGGAGGTTGAGCGCGTGCTCATTAATTAACCCGATTGCCGCTGCACTGTTTCTTGCCATTGACTCTTACTTTACTACTACTCTGTCTCAACACTGTACTCCAGCAGTCGAGTCGGTGCACAGCGATTTCGAACACAGGCAAACAAAGGCGATTCGCAATGCGTGGAGCATCGTGACGGCGGAATTGCCGTTGCGCTAGTTGATTCAGTAGATGGCAAGTCAAGAGAAGAGCAAGCAATGTGATTTCCATAGCTATTGCAAGCACAGGCTATTTTGGCCAAGTTTGTGCCGTCATCGTCACCGGTTGGTGTAATCTTACATGCACACACCAAGCTGCACACCGAGGCAGTGCCAATTGCAAAAAGTTAACCAGCAGGCAGGATAGCTCTCTGCAGACCCCCTTCACATGTAATCTCAGCTCACTTTCACTCTCACTTTCACCTGTGGCCCTTAAGCATTGCTTCAACTGAAGAGAAGCAGTGATCACTAGATTTGCCTAGCTACACAAGTTTTCCTTCACATGCAATTGGCGTCACAATTCTGCGAAAATCAAATACTGAACTACAGGAATAGCTCCGTGGGTAATGACAATTCAATATGGTAGTCAAGGAAAGCATTCATCGAATCACCTGAAAGACTTGCTAATCGCTAATTTGCGTAGTTTCAGTCTTTGAAGATTGGCGCGCACAAACACACAGACAGCAGTGGTGACGGTGTGAAAATGTGATTAATCACTTGTAACTGGTTGTGTTTATGATTGTGCACTACTGGGCAACTACAGAACAGGCTTGGTAAACCAGCCTGGCTTGCTTTTATTGCCTGTGAACTGTCATCCTGCTGCATCTGGTATATCTGCTGTGCCATTAGCTGTGCAAATGCTATCGATCGACAGGGAGAGTTGCAGTGCAAAGCTTCACTGAACTGTGAAGTAAGTTCTCTCTCCTTTTCTTTTTGCTAGCTCAAGCATTGTTTTTTGTAGTAACAGAATTGACATGTCAAACAAACTTACCTTAAACACAGAATTGTCAAGTTTCTAAAAGTGGCGGTGAAGACCGCATTTGCCAGAGTGTCAAGGGCTCATGGTTGAACTGTCGATGCAATTGCACAATGTGGCAACATCAACTGTGTATGCACAGTGAAAGGCAGCACAAACAGCGAGTTGGGTTGAAAGTAGTGGACAGTATATGGTGTCAACTGCAAGAATAAGTCACTGGCACCGTTTAGAGGTCAAAAGTTAGTCAAGTCGGAGTTGCCGCAGTCCCACGGTAATGCAGCTGACCGAGGAAAGTATCTTCAAGCAGTGTCGGGACAAGCGATTCAACATTTACTCGGAGAAGAAGTGTGTGATCAAGCCGATTGTCGAGCAGGCAAATAGTAGTGGTGAGCATAATTGAATCGAATTGCAGAGAAGACAGCCATGTAAGCAGCAGAATGAAGGTCTTTGCTGTGGCACTCTACGCGCGCACTCCAACTCACTTGTCGTACGAGCGAGTGTACACTAATGTACGAGTGTGAGAGAGGGAGCACACTCGCCCAGCCACTACTGTATAGCCAGTGCGCACTGGCACTAAGCAGGCCTCCCAATGCTGCACTGACTCAGTATGTCGCCCACCACTGCCACTGGCCACTACCACTTACCGGTGTTGCCTCACACACGACTCCTCGAACATGTTGCCTCTCTCGCCTCTTTCTTTTGTCACACTGTCCAGTCTTGCTCACTCACTTGCCTATTTGAATAAAGCATGTTTTGCAGCAATAAGAAGGGATACCTATTGATTGGCATTGATACCTCTAACTAGCAAAAATAATAATTTTAAAGCTTTCATCAATCAAACAGTAAAAAATTTTTATATTCACAAGCGTGCTTAAGTAAATGGTTTTTCATTTGCTGTTAAAAACAATCATTTTTGTGCTTTCTGCAACCAGAATAGTTTAAATTAAAAACTTACAGTAAAAAATTTTTACTGCGATATCTCTATACTTTTAAAAATCCGTTTGTTTTTTTATTTCAGAAAAAAAACGGTTATATTCTTTACCAAAAGGTGTCGTTAGTATTTCATTAATTTTTATTAATTTAAAAAATTAAAAATTTGTTTACATAAATATTATTTAAAATCATCTTGGATAAACCTAATCAATATTTTAGAGAGACTATACTTATACCAACAATCCATTTTAAGCAATTACTGTTTGTTTCACTTAACTTGAATGATTTTTCTCATAACGTTAATAGTTGAAATCTAACTCAATAGGTGTCGCTACTGTTACAGGTAAAAGACATTTTTACACATTAACAATTAAAACAAAAACGTTTAATTGTTCAATATTGAATAAAGTGTCAACTATGCAGTTTAGATAAATTATTATGTTTATGTAGAAAACTAGAAACAATTACAAGCAGTAAAAATGAAGCGGTTCGTTGCATCAAACTTGATCGATCCACAGTGAGGCGGCAGAGCACGCAGCTTCAAATAACAGTTACTCTGCCTTGCCAACAACTCTCAATCGCTAATCGAAATGCACACTTGCTCTGTCTGCAAATGGAAACAAATCGTAAACAAAAGCGCAACACAACAAACATTCAATAGCCAAATTAATGAATATGAAGACACATGTGTATTTGTGTGTTGAAAGGCGACAATGGATATCGATTTCTTTTATCGGCCTCATTTCTTTGTATTATTGAAAAATTCTTGAAAATGAAAACACAAAATCACTACGCTAAAACACATCAGGATTATGTTAGTCTAAAAATGGTTACTCTAACATATTTAGATCGATAATATCTGATGCAAGTTTAGCTGACGTTGAAAGAAGTCAGTGCTCGGTGCAAAGTGGTCACAATAGAAGAAAGGATCACTGCATTGACCCATTGGCAGTTTGATGGCATTACTGGCTGCATTATTGTCTTACGATGTTCTTTTTGAGAACTCATATCAGCGACACCAGCAGCCATGTCACTATCAAACTTAACAATTGCCATTTGATGGCAATGCTCCCATTTGCGAGACTAAGTCTTGCAGAAATTGATTTTTAAAATGCTTTGAGGTAGACTTGATAAGCACTGATTAAGACACAATACAGTAAGTGCCAAAAATATGAAATGTCGCAGTTTAATTTTTTTAAAATAAATGTTGCTTTTTCACAACATTTTTTTATTAAAACTTCAGTCGCATTTGACATCAGTTTATTGTTGTTGCTGAAAACACCTATTTTAAATTATTACGTTGCATTTATATTTGTCAATTGTTGTGGCTAAAAATATGTATAAAAATAGGTTTTTGGGGACATTAAAGCTTTAGGCAATGTACATGATGGTTTTATAAATGTAAATTTGATTTGGTTGAACGTCAACAATAAAAGTTTTTAAAAATAAAAAGATACATTTTACCAAAAAGTAAATGCGAAAAGTGTAAAAAACTGCATTGCAAAACTTGATTAATTAAAAAATAATTCATTTGATTGTAACCAAAAACTTTGTCGCAGCAAAACGCACATAAGAAGTCTGGTGTGTTTAGTAAAATGTGTTTCGATTAAATCATCTGGTTTTTAGCAAATCTAAGATTCAAGTAAGTCTAGAGTTCAGATGGTTACTCATTTTAAAGGACAGAATTAACTGAGACAATTTACTAATATTTTAGGCCAAAACTTAAATAAAAAAACACATGTATTATTAGTCAACAAAAAATTGACTAGAAAATTTATAAATAATATTGATGAGACTATAAAATGGTTCACACTATTCAGTCACTGATATTTATGCCCACCGGCCTTTTGAGCGACTGAATTCTCAAACTTTACCATCAACTTATGTTTTTAAATTATTAATTTTTTTAGATTTGAATAAAAAAGATTTTAAATTTAATTATATTGTAGCGGTATTTTAAGATAAGCGCAAAATAATGTCAGTTTGAGCCCTAAAGGCAATATATGCAAAAGTGACTGAGCAAGCTTTTGATTTGCCGTTTTTTCTTGCTTTAAAACTTTTACTTTGCATAAAAACTATCAGCGTATTCGGGTGATGAGTGGGCTCGTTAGAGTAGATCCGTTGTGCTTACCTTGCCTTTTCAACAAAAGCACAACACAAGTTAAAAGGAGTGGATGCAGACCATCAGAGAAGTGATATCTTTGCTGCAGTCCAAAGAATGGTTGCAGAGGTTGCCTTGTTAAAGCAAAGCCAAAGGCAATGCCTGCCTAGTAAAACGTTGATTTTATTAATCAAGTTAATTTCAATTAATTGTGAGCATTTGAAAATAATAACAATAACAAGTACACTTTACAATTGTTTGCTAAAATCACGCCTCTGGCACATATGTTTTCAACAATATTTTTACCCAAATCAT